AAAAGTTGTTTAGTTTATTTTTCTGCATAACATACTTTTTTTTCAGATTTTTTTTTTTTTTTTTTTTTTGCTGGGACCTTCCCTGGTCCTTGCACGGGCTGGCCACCCGGGACCCGGGCGGCCCGGCTGGTAGCCTAGACCTATTTTGAATTTTCAGGTATTTTTAAACTGGTCAGAACAGATACCACACTTGATCTTAGCCTTGCATAATTTTTATTTTTTTATTTTTATTAGTTGTTGCAGAAATTGTGTTGACCTCAGCTAAAAGTTGTCTGTATTGCAGTTCTACAGATTGTACGCAACATTTTTTTCTCCATTTTTTTTTTTTTTTTTTTTTGGCCTTAGGAACATGTATCTGATTTTGTGCTGGGGCCGTCCGGGACCTGGCTCGGCTGGCCATCCTGGCAGCCAGAGGCAGCCCGGTCGCCTGGCCTGGGGTGAGGTCCAACTAGCAAAGAGGATTGGATATAGAGCCTAAATCTGGATGTGTTTTATGTAGAAATGCAGAAAAGCAGATCAATCGTGATTTTTTTGCACTTCTCCACAAACACATCCAGATTCAGGCGTTAAATACAATCCTCTTTGCCAGTGGGACATTGCCCAAATGAACTTCTTGACAAAGCTTGACGCTGATGACAGAAAGTGGTGATTAAAAAAAAAAAAAAAAAAAAAATCTCAGGGACACAAAAGTTTGGAGCACGAAAGGTGTTGAAGGCGTGCATCGGTTTCTTGCACGATCGTGGCGGCTGGTTGCGGGTTTGCAAAAGGCGGGAGAAGAGGGGTCCACGGCTGCGGCAGAAGCCCCAGAGAGAGAGCCCTCCATAGATCAGCTACGGACACTCCACCAGTGCATCAAAAAGGTATTTCAGGAATTTTCAGCCTTATTTGACTATTTGCGTTTTTTTTTTTTTTTTTTTTTTTCCTACTGGTTTATTGAACTGCATTCCTTGTCAATGGTTTTAACTTTCAAGTTTTAAGTTTTAATCCAGTTTTTTTTTGGGGGGGGGGTTGTTTTTTTTTTTCTACTGGTTCATCGGGTAAACGATGCTTGGAGTTGCTGATGGTTTTAATCCAGTTTTATGAAATTTTTTTTTTTTTTTTTTTTTTTTGCATAAGAAGAACTCAGAAAACGTAAGAAGCCTGGTCAGGCCCTATGGTTTTTGTACTCATCAATTTCATCTTAGGCCCCTTGACGTTTGAACTTTGAAGTTTGAACTCATGATCTGTTTATCAACAGCTACACATTTATACCATTCAGCCACAAGGCGGGGTAGGTAAGCCAGTGTTCATTCTCGGTCCTGGTTCGTCTTTTGATCCAGGTTTGTCTTTTGGTCCTGGTTTGCCTTTTGGTCCTGGTTTGCCTTTTGATCGTGGTTTGTTTTTTTCATGGCTACGATCCGGAAGTCCAGACCGCCGTCCAGACGGTCTGGATTCAGTCCGGACTCCAGACGTCCGGTCTGGAAGGTCCGGATCTGCCAAATTTCGAGGAAAAAAAAAACAAAAAAAAAACGGTCCAGGACCCTTCGCCATTGAGGAGCCAAGCCCCCAAAATTGTTTGGGGGGGGGTTCAGGCCCGTTTATGCTTTTTGGGGGTGTCCGGACATGCTCTCTTTCTATAATAATTTATTAGACAACCCCAAATTTTTAATTATGAATAATTCATTACCTTTTATTAGGGTTTAAAGTCTTTTTTTAAGTTTTTTTTAAGCTTATTTATAGTTTTTGACTTTTAAGTTTTAACTCAAGTTTGGTTAGGAATTCTCACATGACTCTGAGGCAAAAGTGGTTTGCATTGTTATTCTGCATAACATACTTTTTTTTTCAGATTTTTTTATTTTTATTTTTTTTAATGGTCCGGACATTTCCGGACCTGTCCAGACATCCGGACCGTCCGGATCCCCCCATGTCCGGACGTCCGGAATTCCGTGTGAAAAAAAAAAGCAGAGCAAAAAAAAATGTAGGTAGCCCAGTTTGGTAAAGAATTCGATGCGACCCCGAGCCAAAAGTTGTTCAGTTTATTTTTCTGCATAACATAGTTTGTTTTTGGATTTTTAAAATCATTTTTTTTAGATTTGTTTTTTTTTTTGTTGTTGGCTGGGAGTCTGGGACTTCCCATGGTCCTTGCACGGCCGGGCCGGCCGGGAAAACAAGGTCACCCGGGCGGCCCGGCTGGTAGCCTCGGAAAGGAGTGAAAAACGTTCGTTGTTACAAGGATTTAAGGAACGATCGGTTTTCAAAAATACCCCCAAAGTTTTGTTTTTTGCCCTCTGAGTCATTCATCATCCTTTTGCCAGTTGCCAACCAGCCCCTGAATCTCACGACCCTCCTTAAAGACGCTATCTGATTTCCTCCAGTCCTGACTCCTAACTCGTGATTGATATGTCATTCCGTGCTGTTCGGCGATTGTAGGTGACGGACGAAATCGAAGGGCTGCGATTCAACACCGCTATTGCTGCGATGATGGAGTTTGTCAATTCTGCGACAAAGGTACTCTGTTCATCTGATTCTCTCTTTCTGCCCTTCTGGGCTTTGTCGCTCCCTTAATCAAGGCCCTCTGTCTGCCATTCTGTCTCTATGGTTGTGTCCTTCTGTCCGTTTACCTGTTCGCCTGTCTATCTGTCTTCTCTTGTCTCGTCTCATCTCGTCATCTTGTCTAGTCGCGTCTCATTTCATCTTGTTCCTCTTCTCTCGTCTCTTCTCATCTGGTTTTGTTTTTTGTCTTGTCTTGCCTTGTGTTGTTTCGTTTCGTCTCTTCTTGTCTCGTTTTGTTTCGGTTCGTCGTCTCCTCTCGTCTCGTCTCGTTTCGTCTCCTTTCTTCTTGTCTCGTCTTGTCTCGTCTCATCTCATCTCGTCTTGTTTCTTCTTGTCTTGTCTCATCTCATCTCATCTCGTTTCTTCTTGTCTCGTCTCGTCTCGTCTCGTCTCATCTCATCTCGTCTTGTCTCGTCTCGTTTCTTCTTGTCTCGTCTCGTCTCGTCTCATCTCGTTTCTTCTTTTCGTCGCGTCTCGTCTAGTCTCGTCTCGTCTCGTTTCTTTTTGTCTCGTTGTGTCTCGTCACGTCTTGTCTCGTCTCGTCTTGTCTCGTCTCGTCTTGTCTCGTCTCATCTCGTCTCGTCTCCACCTATCCTGGCCATTCGCCCATTTGCTCATCCATTTTCCTCCATCCATTCCTTCATCCATTTTGCTCCTTTGTACATCATCCTGGTCAGATACTGCTACCTTTTTGCTGATGGATTGGTTGTCACAATTGCATAACAAACTTTAACCCCATCTCGTTGACTTCTGTCCGACTGTTCATTTTTCCGACTCCCGATCTCGATGTCTGTCCGTCCTCCTGCCTCTGTACGGAAAATTATTTTTCTGTTGTTTGATGAACTTGTAGTTCATTTCTTTCTCTTTCTCTTTCTCTTTCTCTTTCTCACCTCCAAGCAAGCAGTCCAAATGTGAAAGCTCTTTTGAATTTTCACATCTGTTAGGGGGCACATTTCATTCGGGACATTCCTTGATGTATCTGAGGATTCTGAGCGTGATTAGCGCCAGATTCAGTTTGATAGAGCCCTAGTACGAGTGGGTCTGAACACATCCTTGACGGGCAGTGTGTTTTTGTTTTCTATGGGACTCTATGTTCCACATGTCCACACTATTGTGCTGTGTGCTGTGCTTGCCTTGCAGTGGGAAGATCGGCCGAAGGAGGTCCTTGAGAAGTTTGTCCTCCTACTCTCTCCATTCGCTCCGCACATCGCCGAGGAGCTCTGGTCTCGACTGGGTAATGCCAAGACATTAGCGTACGAGCCGTGGCCACAGGTGAGAAATGGGGCATGCAAAGAGAGAGAGAGAGAGAGAGAGAGAGAGAGAGAGAGAGAGAGAGAGAGAGAGAGAGAGAGAGAGAGAGGTTGGGGAAAATAGAGCATGAGGAAGAACAATCAAGAATTACAGAAGTTCAAGTCTGAGAAAGTTGTGATGGAATAAATAGTATTAATTTGTTAAATTAATTTAAATTTTAAATACATGTATGGGGTATCTTGAAAAAGTAATGAACAGTGACAAACCCTAAACCAAAAAACAAAAAAGAAAAACCGAAGAAGTCGAGTGAAAATTGAAGAATATTAAATTATTTAAATATGATGGAGTACTGAATTTGACTCCACCTGAAATTGACCGAAATTTCTTGGAGGGCCATTGGACCATGACTCAAAAGAGCCACTGCAGAAGAAACAGATTCTGAATTTGAAAATTTGAAAATTTGTGATTTTGAGACTTCCCACACAACAATGAACTGATTGTACTCACACAACACAAGAGTGGGCCTTGCTTCTGGATGTGATTGCGGTCAGATGCGTCCATGTCCAACAGTACTTGCGATCAGATACATTTACAATAGAGCTAGCCTGAGTACGTTCTTAGAATCCCAAACTCCCAAAAATGTTGAAGAATTCTTTTCCCTTTTTTTTTCTTCCTATGTTCAACGGATTGTTCTGCGGCGAGGTCCCCCTCACACGGATTACGAGAGATTGGCTGTCGATGTTCGTCATCTATGGCCGACAGCCGATCTCTCCCCATCTGTGCATGCGTGACATCGACTCGGTGGAGTACTGGATCGCATGGCTTACTCTTGCTTTTTTATTTTCTTTTTTCTTTTTCTCTTTTTCGAGTCCTCCTTTTCTAGTTTCAAGGCGAATAGAAAGCAAGGCAAGAGACACCCACTGCATCACCGGAAAAATAGTAAACATCATACCTGTGGCGCAAGTGTGCGGTGCGCTGATCGCCGGTGCACGGGGGAAAAAAAAAAAAAAAAAGGGTCATGATGGGTGCGTACACGTGCGTGCACGCGCGCAAGAGAGAGAGAGAGAGAGAGAGAGAGAGAGAGAGAGAGAGAGAGAGAGAGAGAGAGAGAGAGAGAGAGAGAGAGAGCAAAGAGCCCTTCCACATAAATCGAAAACCCCTGCGGGTAATCCGAAAAGACCCTGCAGATAACTAGCATGGGTCTCCTCGCCAAGTAAGGGTCAGTCGCGGGGCGTATAGCAGGACAGTAGCAGGCCAACTATATATAGCGTAGAGTCGAATTCAGGTCCGTGATTCAGCAGTTATGGGTTACTCAGTTGCTAACTCAGCACGTGATTTTCAGGGCTTCGCTCCACTAGTCACCAAATGTGCAAAATTAGAGTGAATTTTCTGCTAGAACAGGGAACCATACTTCGCCATATGTTTTGTTTTTTGTGCACGTGGTGACTAGTGGAACGAGGCCCTTAGGGCCACTGCACGTAAGAAAAGGAAAGCAAAAAGAAGAGAGAGCTACCGTAGTAAGTAGCAGTGACCCATAACTGCTGGAACACAGGCCTGAATTCGAATCCAGAACATATATTGCGGGCCTGCTCGCGTCTCACCCAGAATTCGATGAGCGGGTGTGTTGTTACTAAATAGGACCCTAAGCCTGCTGATTTCCTGCTGGGGGCCCTTTCGGTAACGAGACTGAATCCAATGAGGAGTACGATGTGGGCCCATTTTTTTTTTGTTCACTTAGAATTATCAGAAGGGAGGGGCACATTTGGCTACCACAGCCTGCCCTTTGTGATTTTTTTTAATGACCCTATTTATTGGGGTGCGCCGCATCACGATCGCGCGCATGCATGCGCGTACGCGACTTGCACGCACGTGATGTGCCGCAGGTATGGCAAACATACATGGAGGAGGGAAGAACGCATGGGGTGGGTGTGAGGAGGGGTTGCGGGGGGGTGTAGCGGAGTGCAGGGGGTGGGGAGGGTGGGAAGGGTGGGGAGGGTGGAGAGGGGATAGAAACTTGATGGAGAGAGAGAATGATGTCCACGAACCCCTAATGATTCCAAAAGTAGGGTGCAACTTTTGGGGTCATTAGGGTCCCTGACAGAGGGAGAATGACGGCCAGGGACCCCCAATGTGACCCCCAAAGCTCTCATGACCCCTAACAACCCCTGGAGCAATCTCTGATTTTCAATGCTTGCTTTGTTGATTGTGCAGGCGGAAGACCGGTATCTTCAGCAGGATTTCATCAAAATCGCCGTTCAAGTTAATGGCAAAGTGAGGAGCACCATTGAGCTTGTCGTCGGTGCAGACGAGGCGGCGGCCGTGGAGGCGGCAATGGCAGACGCCTTTATCCAGAAGGCTGTGAACGGAAAATCCATCGCAAAGAAAATTTTTGTTCCGGGAAGGATATTGAATCTTGTTGTGCGATAAGGAAAAAAAGAAATCTTGTTGTGCACTGGCAATGCTGGGGTTCCCTAGTGTTTACTTTCCTCCCCTCTCCTACCCTACCGTACCCTACACTCCCCTACCCTACCGTACACTACACTTCCCTCCCCTCCCGTACCTACCGTACCTTCCCCTACCCTGGCCTACAATCCCCTCCCCCATCTCCCTTCCCATCCCCTAACCTAGCCTACAACCCCCTCCCCTTCTCTCCCCTTCCCTCCCCTACTTTCCCCTACACTCCCCTACTCTCCCCTACACTCCCCTACTCTCCCTAC